ATTATTTTCATTATAGGTGCCCATTAAAGATTGTAAACCTTATGTGTGTAGTTAAGACATGGTGTTATTCCACATTATTGTCACTGCTGCATGCAAACAAGGCAAAAATCAAATAAAATGCTGCCGACTGCCAGCCAGGTGTCTGAACTGTACATTAAAATCTGTGCAGCAAACATGTCCGCCTTCCCTTACAGCAGAAACAATATTACAGGTATGAAAAAAGTGAATCATAAAACCCTGGGGACATGAGCTAAAATGCTAATTCAGACCGTACATCATGTCAGGTTGCAGAGCTGTACTGTGAATAACCATAGTAAAATCAGACCGCTCTAAAAACGGTGCGTCAGACGTGAATGGCTTCCTTCAGCTGTGGAGAAATTCTGAACAATAGAGGCACAAAGTGCACAGAAGATAAAAAAAATATCCGTATAAAAATGCATTGGCTTAGATATTTTCTTAGAAATTACAATTATTTAATTCCATTTTTAGCCAAAAAAAAATGTATTTCTGCATCATTTTATATATATACGCATCGGCCACTTTATTAGGTACACCTTACTAGTACCGAGTTGGACCCCTTTTTGCCTTCAGAGCTGCCTTAATCCTTCATGTCATAGATTCAACAAGGTACTGGAAATATTCCTAGGAGATTTTGGTTTATACTGACATGATAACACCATGCGCTGCATGTCCGTGATGCGAATCTCCCGTTCCACCACATCTCAAAGGTGCTCAATTGGATTGAGATCTGGTGACAGTGGAGGCCATTTGAGTTCAGTGAACTAATTGTCGTGTTTAAGAAACCAGTCTGAGATTATTCACGATGGTGTGTCATCCTGGTGGAAGTAGCCATCAAAAGATGGGTACACTGTGGTCATAAAGTGACTGACATGGTCAGCATCAATACTCAGGTAGGCTGTGGCAATGACACGATGCTCAATTGGTGCTAATTTGACCAAAGTGTGCCAAGAAAATATCCCTCACATCATTACACCACCACTACCAGCCTGAACTCTTGATACAACGCAGGATGGATCCATGCTTTCATGTTATTGACGCCCAATTCTGACCCGACCATCCGAATGTCACAGCAGAATTTGAGACCTCATCAGACCCGGCAACGTTTCTCCAATCTTCTATTGTCCAATTTTGGTGAGACTGTGTAAACTGTAGCCTCAGTTTTCTGTTCTTAGCTGACAGGAGTGTCACTTGGAGTGGTCTTCTGCTACTGTTGCCCATCTGCCTCAAGGTTGGACGTGTTGTGTGTTCAGAGATGCTCTTCTGCAGACCTCAGTTGTAACCAGTGGTTATTTGAGTTACTGTTGCCTTTCTATCAGCTGGAACCAGTCAGGCTATTCTCCTCCGACCTCTAGCATCAACAAGGCATTTGCGCCCACAGAACTTAGTTATATTATTATTATCATATTTTTAATAGTTCCTAAACACACACCCAAACTCCAAAGCAATATTGCTCCCAAATTTCTTTGAATATATTGCTATATCAAGACAATAAAGGCTTTCTGATTCAGCCTTCAGCCTTTTTATAGTGTAGATTTTGGACAGACTCTTTCTTTAAAGAGATATTTCACCCAAAAATGAAAAATCTGTCATTTACTCATCCTCCAATTGTTATAAACCAGTTTGAGTTTCTTTCTACTGCTGAAAACTAAAGATACATTAAAGAATTTTGGAAAAAACAGCTATCAACTCCCACAGTATTTATTTGGATGCAACGACTGCCTTTTCCTCCCCAGCATTCTTCAGAATAGCTTGTTTTGTGTTCAACTGAAGAAAGAAATTCATAACAGTTGACAACCCCTTGAGAGTGAGAAGATGGTGAAGAAGTTTTCATTTTTAGGTGAACTACCCCTTTAAAAGTATATCATAGATAGCACAATATGCTGCAATGCAGTGCTGTACGTTTCATGCTGCTGTCAGGAGGCTCGAAACACACTGACCTGATCCATCATGTTTCTCTCCGCTTCTGACACACACACACACACACACACACACAAGTGTCTGCGGATCTCTGGAGCATCAACTGTTTCTGCAGACCTGCAGAGAGGAAAAAAGATTCAGAAAGCGTGATCCACTGCAGGGGTCTATCTTTACAGAGACCCTCACAGCTCCTCTCTGACACTCACTATCATCTTGTAAAGAAACCCCGCTGTGCTGCTGTCCTCCGTCACACACTACAGTGCAGCGTCTGATGCTCACAGCCTGCACTGAAGATGCTTTAGGGCCTACTCACACTATGCTATCCCAACCGTGCCCAGGCCCGTTTCCCGGATCGTTTGAGAAGCGTGAGAGCGCTGAATCGGGCTCAGGCACAGTTCACTTGGCCGGCCCTGGCCCGGTTGGAAGAGGAGGGCCTGAGCGCAATTCATTTAGGCTTTGGCGCGGTACGTTTTTAGGGCCTACTCACACTATGACATCCGTACCGTGCCCAGGCCCGTTTCCCGGATCGTTTGAGAAGTGTGAGCGCGCTGAATTGGGCTCAAGCACAGTTCACTTGGCCGGCCCTGGCCCGGTTGGAAGAGGTGGGCCTGAGCGCAGTTCACTTGGGCTTTGGCGCGGTACGTTTGTAGTGTGAGTGCAAAATGCGCCAAAGCCCAAAACTGAAAGCGAGACGTGACTTTTAAGGCACTGTTTCATATGGATTTATTAATCATTCTTACTGTTCAATGAACGCAAACTGCCGTAGATTATTAAAGACACAAACCCCTCACTGCACGACAGCTGCATCTTAAGCAGACCTCCTCATTCCTGCAGCACGAGGGCTTTATGATTGTTTATAAGCGCCAAACGTGCCGGATATGTTGGGCGAAATATCTGACTGCGTGTCACCGCATCCCTAAGGACTGTTTGACGAAATATTTGACTGCATGTCACTGCATAACAAACAACTGAAACGATATAACTAGAGAAATCTCCACTGTGCTGAGCAAGAGCGCTCACTGAACAGCGCAGCATCGATGACGCAAGCGTGCTCTGGCTCGATTGTAGTGTGAGGCCCTACTTACATTATGCCATCCGTACCGTGCCCAGGCCCGTTTCCCAAGTCGTTTGAGAAGTGTGAGTGTGCTGAATCAGGCTCAGGCACAGTTCACTTGGCCGGCCCTGGCCCGGTTGGAAGAGGTGGGCCTGAGCGCGGTTTACTTGGGCTTTGGCGTGGTACGTTTGTAGTGTGAGTGCAAAATGCGCCAAAGCCCAAAACTGAAAGCGAGATGTGACTTTTAAGGCACTGTTTCATATGGATTTATTAATCATTCTTACTGTTAAGTGAACGCAAACTGCTGTAGATTATTAAAGACGCAAACCCCTCACTGCATGACAGCTGCACCTTCAGCAAACCTCCTCCTCCTGCAGCACGAGGGTTTATGGTTGTTTATAAGCGCCAAACGTGCCGGATCTGTTGGGCGAAATATCTGACTGCGTGTCACCGCATCCCTAAGGACTGTTTGGTGAAATATTTGACTGCATGTCACTGCATATCTAACGACTGAAACGATATAACTAGAGAAATCTCCACTGTGCTGCTGGAGTGAGAGAGCGCTTCTCACTGAACAGAGCGCAGCAGCGATGATGTAAGCGTGCCGAGGCCCGATTGGGGTGTGAGTGCGGGTCGTCGGGGTAGACGGGAGGAGGGACAAGCGTGCTTTGGCCAGGTTCGAGGCAACTGTACCTAGTGTGAGTCCGGCCTTAATGTCAGATTAGTAAAAATAAAACAAAAAAACTAACAAATATGTGTTTGTTGCTCTCGTGTTGCTTTTAAAAGTCTCCTCAGATGCGCCTGCTAGAATTAAACTTTAATTTGAATATTTTACATTGTTTACATTCTATTTGTAGCACACATTGACTGACACATCCTGAAATAACACTAAACAAAACACTAAAATAGTCTAAATAGTTTTCACTGTGTGCAGTAATTTGTAGTTGTTTTACACTATACAAAGTTGAAGTCCAAATTATTAGCCATTAAATATTTTTTCTTTTTCAAATGATGTTTAACCGAGCAAGGAATCTTTCACGGTATTTCCTATATTATTTTTTATTCTGGGGAAAGTCTTATTTTGGCAACAATAAATTTATTTAAAAAAAAATTTTTAAAACACTTTAAGGTCAATGATATTAGCCCCCTTAGCCTATATATATATATATTCTGATTGTCTACAGAACAAATCACTGTAATACAGTGGTATATCAGACGTGTATCCCATAGACTTCCATTCATAAGCATGCGAATGCGTCAGACCGGAAACGCAGGGTCAAGCGTCAAATTTCACAGGTGGATGCGGTTCAAAGTTCAAGCTTTGCGAAATCGCATCATTTGACTGCGTGAGACCAATCGAGGATCAAAACATGACAGAAATCTAAAACATGGAGCAATCACTCACTTTTAAATAAATGTCTAATAAGCTTGTTTGATCCCGCCCCTTTTCGTAGCGCCGCATGACAGAATTTCACATGCTCAACCTCTAATGTGACTGCAGCTTAAAGGGTTTAAAACGACATGACAGTGAGTAATTATTTAAATTTGTGCATGAACTAACTAAACTAAATTAGATTAAACTGTGAATCATTATCATTATTTTGTAAATAAACATTATATATGTTAAAAAATACACAACATCGTAACACTAAATGCTGGGTTTTCCTTCAATCCACAGCCTCAGCTTGTTCTTCATGTGCTGTCAATGGATTTTCAATTGAGATAGAAAATAATCATATTCCCACAGGCTCCGCTCTCTGACAGTGTTCTCATTTCATGTTTTCTCCATTTCTAAAAGACTTATAGCCTCAAACACACCAAATCACAGACCTGCCATACAGAAAAACAGCATCAGAGCACAACATACTGAATATGAATGAAGCGTAACTCAGTCTTCCATTCTGCTGAACATGCTTTGATGAATCTCTCTCTCTCTCTCTCCCTCTCTCTCTCTCTCTCTCTCTACATGTGAACAGAGAAGTTGATCTACCTGATTTCTGTGTTTCAGGCGAGTGCAGTTTCAGCAATGCGGGCGTTCATGATGGAGGGGTTTTTAGTAGAATCTTCCAGATCCTCTATAGGAATGAAGAGGTGACGCTGGAGGACCACATTAACTTCAGACTGCACCTGCTGCTGGACGGAGAGAGGGTGAAAGCATTGCACACGTTCACGCAGTTAATTTAATATATCCACCTTTATACCTAGCCCACATGGAGGGAGGGGGTACTTACTTTTTCACAGTACTGTATTATATTTCCACACTACATTGCATTAAAAATTGTTATGATCAGCTGTACCCTGTTGATCTGCAGCTCATTTTAGATATTATGAAATATGTGGCGCGGGTGAGCAAGACACAGAGAAGCAGGGAATTATGGGTGGAGAGTGTGTCTTAGATTCCTGTGGCCATCTTTCTTATTAACCTTGAAGCGGTTTATCTGCAGCCGCTCTCCATCTCTCTCTCTCTCTCCGTCTCTCTCTCTCCAACAAGGAGCTAAAAATAGCTTTCCATTTCCCCAGAGTGTGACTTTAATCAATCCACGTATCAATAATCGGAGCAGGCGTTGTTTGTTTTCTCAGAAGCGGCTCAAACCTCTGGAGTCAAATTGCATTATTGTGTGTTCTGTCTCTAAATGCGCAGCACATGCCAAAATCTGGTTTTCATTTGAAGGATTCCTTATGGGGGAAAAACAGCATAAAATATTATGTGTTCCCGTGTGAAAGCACATGCAGTACAGTAAAAGTTGTGTTTACTGGCACGTGATCGCATTTCGATTCTGCATATTTGAGACAGGCGAGAGAAGGTCGAATAAAAAAGACCCCTTAACCCTTAAGGAAATATTGAAATTATAAATACTACTACTAAAAATAATAGTCATTTTAATTAATTAAATAATTAATTAATAATAATACTAATAATTGTATTAATAATACATTTTAACACTAATAATACTACTATTATTAATACTAGTTTAATAATATAGTAATAATAATAGTTTATTATTATTATTTTTTATTATTATTAATAGTTTATTAATATTATTATTATTAATAAC